GCTATAAGGAATAACGTGACAGACAACACTGATCCTTGGGGGACTCCGTTCTCCAATGGCATTTCACCCGATAAATGTTCTTCCACGTTCACCCGGAAAGATCTGTCGGTGAGGAAACTGTACAGTACGTTGAACATGCGCCCACCCATCTGCCACTTACGCAGAGTACGCAAGATACCGTACCGCCAAGTGGTGTCGTACGCTTTCGACAGATCAAGCGATGCAATCAAGCAGTGTTCGTCCCGATTTGGCAATGACCTATCCAACTCCGCCAAGTATGTGTCGACGCCTCTCCCAGCTCTAAAGGCGTGCTGCCTCTTATCCAGTCGTCCATTCGACTCCAACTCAGTCGTCAATCTGCGGTTCACGATACGTTCGAACACCTTTGCGGTGCAGTTGGTCAAAGTGATAGGTCGGAAAGCAGCAGGTCCAGATTCAGAACAGTTTGGCTTCGGAATCGGCACTATTATTCCGGTTCGCCAGCTGATAGGGTAAACGCCACTACGCCAGATTCTGTTTAGAAGCTGCAACAGCGCGATTTTGACGGATAAAGGCAGACGTCGGATCATCGGATACCCTACCGAGTCAGGACCTGTAGAGACACTACGTCCTTTGTCGAGTGCCCACAGAAGCTCATCCAGGGTGAAGTCCGCGTTATATATCTCGTCGTTGTCCGGAAGAAAATCCACGCGATCCCGTTCCGCTCTTTCCTTCGCTGTTTGAAACAGTTGGGGGTAGCTTGAGGTCGCTTATCTCTCGCAGTAGTGCTCGGCCAGTTCTTCTGCTATTTCTTCCACCTTCTCCGTGTAGCCATCGGGTCGCTTGATAACCGCCTTGCTGTATTGTCGTTTGCCTCTCAGGGTGTTCATCGTCCGCCACATTTCTGCCGTTGTGCTGCTAGGTGATATTTTTCCGACAAAGTCTTCCCACGAATGTTCCTTAGCTTCCTTCACTGCCTTCTTAGCCGCTGCCTTCGCTTCCTGGAACTACTTCAAAACATCCGCTGTGTCCGATCCTGCTATTCTGCTGCGCTTCAGTGCTCTCAGAAGTTTTCGACGCCGCTTAATCGTCGTTTTCACTTCCGGGCACCACCATGGTACCGATTTGGAACCAACTCGTCCTGATGTTCGAGGAATGCTAGCGGTTGCTGCTGATAATATCCGATCTACGAACTCATCAACGCCTATCTCGTCATCCGGTTTGTTGCTGCTGGAAGTTAGTCGTTCGAACAATGTCCAATCTGCTTGGTCGTAGAGCCATCTTCTTCGCTTCGTGGCGATCTGTGAGAATTCAGGTGAAGAGACGGTGATTGGAAAGTGGTCGCTGCTGTGGGTATCCGGAAGTGTTCGCCAGATAAATCTGGGAGCTAGCACCTCTGAACAGATCGAAAGATCTATGGCAGAAAATGAACCGTTTGCTGGATCCACCCGCGTGTGTGATCCGTCATTCAGGATTATCAGATGCTCCGTCAGTGTCTTTTCAGCGATGTAGCGGCCAAGCGCATTCGATGCCGTAGAACCCCAGCCGGGATGGTGCGCATTGAAGTCGCCAAGTACCAACATTGGCGCGGGCAGACGCTCCAAGAAATCATTTAGTTCTGTTTGGCACTGTTGCTGGGAGTTCGGAGCGGTAGATCTACACTACCGTCATTGGCGTCGAAGATGGATGCGAACTGCAATGGCTTGAATATCACAATTGATATCGATGCACTCGAATGGAACCCCTTCACGGATGGCAAGGCCCACTCCTTGCTGCCAGTACCGACGACTACCGGTTTGAAGAAGCAGGGTGTAGTTCTTGCCGGCAAAGTCTGGCGCGACTACACGATTATCCACTTTCGTCTCTGATTCGGCTAGCTGTCTTTCAGTAATAGAGATTGGCAAATCGCAGCCTCCCTGGATTCAAGAAATTTAATGTCTGCTTTCAAACCGTCCGATTCACTTTTGTTGGGTTCCCGGCCACGCCGGTATCCGTGGCCACTCAGCATCGGCATTCCAGGAAAAGATGCCATTGGCAATGAACCAAGCCGTCCGTCAGAAGTGGGAGTCACGATAGGTGCAACTAACAGAAGTCAAGCTGAAGGAGATAAAACGTGACATTAAAGAGTGGATCGATCAAAACAGTTCTGCCGACCAACGAGTACTCACTCGTCTGCGCATCGGCCAGACCAGACTGACACACGAATTTCTATTAATGAAATCATCGCCACCGACATGCGATTGCTGTGGAACGGTTATGGATGTCCGACACGTAGTTCTACACTGCAGGAAATTTGAAGTAGTCATGAACGATGATGGCAGCGGAAAGCGGTTGCTGAAGTTCCTGCATGAAGGTAATATCGATCGAACATTGTGAAAACGAGGAAAAGAGAGAAGCGAACACAGAGGACGTTAAGGACAACGGAAGAAAACAGAGGATGATGGAGAAGAAACATACAAAGTCGGAGCAGAAGAATACAGAAATAGAAGCTGATGAAGATGACAGAAGATGATGTGAACCAAGCAGAAGAAGATGGAGAAGAAGAATCGAGGATTTGGAAATCGAATCAAGGAAGAAATTTGAAGATAATATGATGGTGAAGAAATTACTGAAATAGAGAAGAAAACAATAAGCAGAAGCGATGAAATGTGGACCAGGGCAGTAAAGTAGCTAAGTGTGAACTTAACAATTAACATTTACACCACATCATTAAACACACTGTACACTATAATTTTTTAAAGACACGAATGCATCAGCAAATGTAAAGTGTCAGTAATAAACAACAACAACAACAACAGCAACAACGAATGCTTCTCTCTCTCACTTTGTAATTTTTGTTTATTTTGCCCACTACAGACATTGTTTGACTACGCTAGTTTAAGAAAGACTAAGCGTGGATTGTGATTAATAGGCCGGAAATGGGGTAGTTAACCCTATGCTGTTAACAACGCGACAGAGATTGAAAACAAAATTTGAATTTGAAACGGAATTTAAAGGAAATAAACCAATCCACTCAAAGCTCTTGATAAAGGGATTCCGTTAAGAGGTTTGACAAATTTTAAGGATCGTATATAGTAGTTTCCATTTAATACCAGTAAAAAAATACCTACTCTTAAGTATATTCTACCCAAAACTAAGTTTAATTCACGTAAATTTGAGAATATACACTTTACTCAAAAGTAACTTATTGTTCTGAATTATATCGTTGGGTAGAATCTCTCGTTCCTTTTTTGAGAACAATAAAGAGTGCAAGTGAGAGGCTGAACTCAATATTAAGTACATAGAACTCAAATGTTGTGTAGTATTTTTTCTCCGTGTAGTGCTTTTGATTCTGGCTTTAGACCTCTGATATCTTCAGATCATGATGGGTCTGGAGAGGTTTTAAAATTGTGGTGGTTTTCTGGCTTTCTGGGAAGTTTTCGAATCAAGAAGGAAACGTGATTCATCGTGTTTGCTAGAATCAGAAGAGATGTCGCAATCTGAAAATCTTGTTTTATTTTCTTCGCGTGTGCTCCCGAACCAGAAATGTTTGGCATAGTAAAGCGATCGATGCCTGCGTCGGAGGTGTTGGGTTTTCTAATCGTTCTATGATGGTGTTGGTGATCAAATGTACTCCAAACACTGAAGGGTCTGCGCATTCTGTTGTGAATCCTGCGGTTTGCTTCCATTACAGTAGCGTAGGCGAAAGAGTGATGAATGGTCTCAATGCTTCGGTGTGAAAAAAAAAACGCGTTGTGGAGAGTATTGGCAAGGATGATGCATGAAACAGCTTTGAAAACATGGAAAGACAGGCTTATAGCAGATAATTTTGGTGAGATCTTTCTTTTTGTATTAATTTAAATTTATTTAAATTTTCACATAACCTTTACTTTATATTGGCGAACAGAGATTCCTAAATATATTCCATTTTCTACTAACACTACTACTTCCCTCCCGTGGCATCTATGAAGGTAGTATGGGTTCCCTGCAACTTCTTAAGTAGATGTTGAACTAATTTTCCTTGCTATCCCTTGTAATTGTAAGGATGTGGCCAGGTGTATAATGCGATGCTTGATTTGTAGATTTTAATGTGTGGGAAAAACCTCTAATCCCAAGTGTTTTTGCAAGGCAACACACGATATTTTCTACAAAATGTATTGGTTGACCATTATATAGCCCCCCACGATTTGTGCAATCGCTTATGCTATGCTATGCTATTTTGCCCACAACATACATTATTTTTCTGTACAACCTTTTCTCAGACGTCATTTTGATCAGAAATGCCGTTTCATTGCTACGAATTTTTGGAAAATTTCTAGGACGCCATTTTGTAAAATTAGTAAGATCCAAAATGGACAGATTGAAAAAAAAAAGTGAAGCATTGTCCAAAATAAACAATTACATATCGGAGAAGGTTGATTCATAAATTGCATTATGTTACGCAATTTTCCCTGGAACTGCTCAATACCTTGAAATTTTAGAAGATTGAGTTCTATGTTGAATTCTTAAATTTTCAATATATTTCGTCTCATGTACCGGGGTACCCAGCATACATTTGAATAACACGGGTTAAACATATAATACATCTTGACACACATAAAGGATAAATCTATTAATTTTCTAACGAGTATTTTATGAGTTTTCATGACTTCCATTGAGCTTGCCGCAGAATTAACAAATGCAAAATTGATAACGATGCTTAATTAACAACTGTGGGAAAAGGATCTTAATTGCATACGAAAATAATTTATTTTATTTACACTCACAATGTTGCTGTTAAGCTTTAATATATGAACGAATCATTAGTCGTGTAGTTCGAAGCTCAACATTTGAACTAACAATGTGATACGTATTAAACCAATCATCTCCACCTCTACCTTCAATGGTGTATTTTGAGACGATACAATGGAAAAGAAAACCAAAATGACGAAATTCAAGTGCATTGAAACTTAACCGATCTGGTTGTATAAAAGCATCAAAGAGTTACATTGAACATATCATACGCTTGTGATCATCTCACCAGCTCAGTTCAGTCCGAAAACCACTGGAGTGTAATCCAATCGTCGGTAGCATCCACCATGAAGGTAACGAGTCATAAATTAGCAATTAGTTTTACTTCACACTAATTCACCTCCAATTGTCTTTTCTAGGCGTTCGTAGTATTTTCCATGGCTTTGGCCGTTGTTTCCTGCGCGGCAGTTGACGATTCCTCCAAGAAGGACAAACGTGGCCTTTGGGATCTGGGATACGGACACGATTCTCTCAGCTTCGATGACCACCACGATAACCACCATGAAGTGAAGCACTTGACCACCACCATCACCAAGAATGTCGCAGTCCCGTACCCAGTTGAGGTCGAGAAGCATGTTCCAGTTGAGGTGAAGGTCCCATACCCGGTTCATGTCGAGAAGAAGGTTCCAGTCTACGTGGAGAAGAAAGTGCCAGTTTACATCGAGAAAAAGGTCCCAGTCCACATTGACCGTCCAGTCCCATACCCAGTGGAAGTGAAGGTCCCAGTTGTCCACAAGGAATACGTCGAAGTGCCGAAACCGTACGCAGTTCATGTTGAGAAGCGCGTTCCAGTGGTTGTTCACAAGCCAGTGTACATCGAGAAGCACGTTCCAGTGACCTTTACCATCAAGAAGCACGAAAAGAAGCACTGGTGGTAAATCGTGTTAAATAACATATTGCACGGAATAAAACGTTATCTTTGTTAATATCTAACCTATTCTTTTACTTGATATCATTTCATAAATGTCCCCAATTGAGCTTCTCCCATGCAGAAAATCAGTTTCGAAACAAACCACAAGATCATTTTCATAAAATTATACAGCTTCATTCCGATTCGCCAACGTTACCCGTCCATTTCCCGCATATTCATCTAATAACACTTCTCATAACCTTAACTTATCCCTGAATGCTCTTTGCTGCTACCAAGGATCCTGCATGGACCAGGGTTGTGAATAAGATCATCCGCCTCCTCCTACAATTGACACGACAGTCGCATCCGTTCTCGAACATATTGTCACTTTCCAGAAAGGAAAATGACATCGTTTGCGCTGCAGGTTGACAACGATGACGACGCTGGACGTCGTCGTTCGTAATAGCAGGGTATGCGGTATGTGGCTGACTGGCTCTGAAACATCAGTAAAGTTTCAACTGAAATGAAAATTTACGGTTATGGCATTGCACACTCGAATAAAGAGCTTTCGCTTTCCACCGTGTCGTTCGTGTCGCTCGTGATCAGCGGGCGGAAGGATGGAAGGCCGGTCCGTCCTTGCATTCGGTTTGTGAGTTGGAAAGTGGTGAAAATGGTGACACACCAACTTTGGCTGAAACACGCGACGAGCGACGGAAGCAAAACAGAAACGACGAAAAACAAGTCTGGGAGGCCTTCGACGCGGTTGGGTCGCTTTTGGTCCTGATGAATAATGAATGAAGCCGGTTTCGAAAACAAACATGCCGTTGGTAAACTTATACAGGGGAAGTTTGTTCACTCGGATGAATTTGGGGGTGAATTGCGTGGCTGTGGGTGGTTTACGCTTGGGGAAAATTGTATGCCAGTTTCTTCGTTTGGGGAAGCTTGATGGTGAATAGATTCGGATTTCAGTTCCGATTCAGACGGCGTTGAGGATGGATATGTGAATTGTAAGATAGGGGTTGGAAATTAAAAGACTCGTGCGCGCTTTCTTGCGTTGTCAGTACGTTAGGACATACAATATAAATGAGCAAACATATTGATAATCAATAAAAGAACAACAATTGTAACAGTGATTCTTCAATAGGACCTAGGTCTTAATTTAATTAAAAATATTCAAAAGACATCGTAATTCAAACTCTAAGCACGAAATTTTCATATTGATTACTTGTGCAGCTTAGGGACGACTAAGGATAAACAATAATTATTCAGCGTTGTTGGGGAAAGCCAAATGGATCTCTTTTTTCTCAAAGTTCTAGATGAAAGCCCTCAAAATATTGTTCCATGGTGAAGATTTTTTTAAACTTTTAAATGCTTGATGCAAGGTGAAAGTGATCTAGTGAGAACATAAAAATTCCAAAAATGGTAATATTTTAGACATCACTTCAGATTGCAAAAAAAACTTCATCAAGTAGTGGAATTGTGTCTCTACACTGGGTTTGCTTGGGTGAGTTTAAATTCTCGATCTTCGAAAATAGTCATTGTTTACGTTTACTACTTAGGTCTAACTAACTGACTTTCTACTGGCACGAATACATTTGGTCAATCTGTTTCCATCGCAGGCCAAATCCAATAGTCCACACCAGTGTTTCTCATCTTTTCATATCACAGGATTCATAATATCCATTTAATTCTCCTAACTAACCATAGATATTTTGCGTTTTGGCTGTATTTTCATTTAATTTTGGAGTTTTGGAGATTTTAAGATCATTCATGAAATGCCAAAATGGCTTTAACTATTCAATCACCAAACATCAATCACCAATGTTTTCATAAAATGTCATCTTGCTGGAAAAGGGTATGAGTTTTACCTTTTTATGGTTTGATCACATTTTGTCGCATTGTGGAGTGTTTGATGATTGATTTTGTGTTTATTTTGTTGAATCGAAAGTTAAGCAGATTCAGAAAATTTCTCCTTTTTTCTTTCGCGCATTTAAAGCTTATTGATTATTGCATATTAGATTATTGCGTGCTCTCAACTTAGTGTTCTAGATGCACTTCCACAGTCATTAATTGAGAGCTTTCGATGCCTGTACCATTTTTGCATACAACAGAGCTGGTAGTGGGTATGTGATGTAATAGTAGTTACTTTAGTGACTACAATAACGAAAATAGAGTCCAAATAGTGACTTTCAAATAAAAATTTTGAAAAGAAATGTCGGTTGGTTACGAAACTTTTCCGTGCATTGTGTTGCCTCGGCTGCCTCGTGGATTTCGGTAATAGTTTGCCAAATGGTGATGACGGCATGGATGATTTCTGGCCAAGTAGGTGCAGCTATCCGATTCCATCCGATCCGTGATAAGCGAGAATCCGTAGGTATGACATCATCGTGGTCCAATATTGCTCAGGGAGGATGCGATAGTGGAGATACGGTCCGATCCAAGTCCATTCCGTGAGTTTTTTTTCTTTATTATATTGATTTTTAGCCATATGGCTAGTTCATCTCTTAAGATCCTAGTAAAAAAAAGGAGAAAAAAAATGGGTTCTCAGAAGGAGATTCCCAATCTTGGCTGTGGTACATTTATATTGCTACAATGAAAAGGTGTAGAAAACTGTCACAAGGCCAACAAAACGGAAATACTAACAAGGAACACTCAGATATTGTGGTAAAGGTTCGGCTCTTTTAGGAAGGTGATGCTGCCGGGGACTCGTCGCTCAACAGGTTCCGAATGCTGATTGACTTCAAGCCGAGGATGTGCTCCACGGTGACTGGCACTCCACAGGTTTCGCAGGTCCTCCGGAACGGTGTTCCTCCGAAGTTGTGGGAGACTCTGCTGTGCCCGGTGCGCAGTATTGACACCACTCGTTGTTCTCTTAGGTTTGGTCGATCCTTCCAGGTTCCGGTGGTCACCTTGATCTTCCGAAGGTGGTGTGTCCTGTTGTTCCTCCACTCGGTGTCTCAGGCTCTCCAAATCGTTCGCTTGATCCACTTTTTGACATTTTGGAGCGGTACATTGCCGGTGGACCTGGGTCCGGTGCGGTCACAAGCAGACCATCTCCGGAGACCCCCATTCCCACTCCGCTCCTAGAGAGAGTGCCGTCGGTATACCTAACTTCTTAACCTTGGTAGTGCGCCCCGAGAGTTTCGACAACTGTCCAGCGTGAAGCCAGCCAGTTGTCTCCTGCCCTGAAGCGGTCCTTGATTCGGTTGTCAATTTTGATCTTGTGCTATTGCCAACTTTTGTCTCCGTGCCAGTGGACCCTGGCCACTGGAAGGAAATCTACGTCGGCGGCCGTGCGGAGGAGTCGGTTCGCCTCGTCGAGGAGAACGATCCTGTTGTTTCCCGACGTTTTAACGAGAAAGGCAGCGGCTTCAACGCATGTTGCGTCGGCCGGGGTAGAGAGCAGGAGACCGGAGACTGATCGAACGTAGCCGTTGTACACCGGTTCCAGAATCTGGACGGCTTTCTCGGCGGCAAGGCATGTAATATCTACACCGTACAGTAGGAGACTGTCGATGATGGCTCGAACTACGCGGAAGCGGATTTCGCGATTGTTGGATCGGTGGGGGCGGGAGATGGTCTTAATCAGGTTGGACCGACTGCGACAGTCCTTCTTTACTTGTTGGAAGTGCGGCTCAAAGGATAAATTCCAATCGAGGAGCACTCCCAAGACCCTCACGCTGTTTTTGGTCGGTATTGCTTGTTTTTGACGTAGGACTACGTCTGTGATTTCTATATGGGGGTAGACTTTGTGAAAACTGAAAATGGAACATGAAACAAAATTGTGAAAGATTTGAACGATAATAACTCAGCTGCCCCTGGTCCAATTTCAATAATATTATCACCAATTGATCAGAAATATGGCTACGCATCGATAATGCCTTCGACTGTTGACTTTCAACAAGCAACTATTGAAAAAGTGGTAAATGGCCAGCATTGTTCAAAAGCGTCTAATTAACTAATAAATCAACCAATAACCTTCATGCTTATGCTGCTTCCCCAACACAGTCATCAGAGAATCATTCCTAGACGAAACATGTCGATGTAGCATTACGACGAGGTTTGGTAGTTCAGTGGTTACCGTTTCTGCTTACTGATCAATCCAGGCCTGTCCCCTTCCTTGTAATTTTTCACTTTGCCTTATTCTATCCCCACTAGATTTAAATAAAAACAAATTCTGCTTTAACCGATCGTATCACTAACCACAGTGAATCCTGATCTAAAAATAACCTACCTCTCTAAACACAACTATCCTTCCCGAGACAGCCGTGGAGATGTAGAGGTATTCTCGGTCTCCAGTATCAACCGGACGTCGAACTAATCATCCTTCCTTCCCCAAAAGACCGTGAGGACGTGGCCGGCGCTGTGAATTGATCTATAGATTGAATTAATGTGCTTGTACATTGAAGATGGAAAGCTTATCCCATGCACCCATCGATGTAGTTCTCTTTGCAAGTGGATTAGTTCTGATCATTCACGGAGGAGCAACTACGAAGTGCACGGTCAGATAACGTTAACTCGACGGCAAACACATTCATTGATACGTTTGTTGTTGTGGATGATAGAAGAGCATAGCAGAAACAGTGCGAAATAGGAAGTCAAAAGAGGAAATCGTTAAAGAGAATTGGCTTTCACCCTTCTGCTTGTATGCCCCTGCAGTCATCGTCATAGCATCGCACCGCTTTTGGTTCTAGGGCACTTGCTGGTTGCTATTTTTAGATCAGGATTCACTGTGATGCGATCAGTTGTAAGCAGCAGAAATTCCCTTCCCAACTCTCTTGTGGAATCTTTTAGTGGCTCTGAAAAGGGCCGATTTTGTTAGATTACGACGGAGAAATTAAGAGCGTTCACCACAAATGCGAAGAGCCAGCTGAATGTCCTTTGGCATAATTGTGACACGCTTGGTGTGGATGGCGAACAGACCGACCAGATGGGCCTCGCTGGATTCCTGTAGGGCCATTAACGGCCGAGCTCTGAAAGCGCAGATCGGTCTTGAAGTCCTGGGCGATTTTACGGACCAGACGCTGA